CACTACCTACTCCTAAGGCTATCTAGAGGGGACCCCTGCAAGCATAGTTTCCTCTCACTGTGAAGGGGAGATTTCATGTTGCCCCTTGCCCCTAAACATTAGGGCTCAGCGCTTTGCTAGTGCTGGTGTTTTTTTTTTTTTTTCGGTTTCCTGCTTACTTTTATTGCGGTTCGGTGATAATGGCGAAGATGTTTTTTGAACATCTGATCAGTTAATTGAGAGCTGCACCCCGTCGAAAAAAGTATGATACGAGGTAGAGTATGGTTGCAGCAGCAGCAGTACTGAGGCGGTATGTATGTGGCGCTGCATTTACATCATCGCTAATCTTGCCGTCGTGACTGTTGTTGTTTGGTGTTGTGTTTGTCTTTTCTTTTTTTTTTTTTTCGCAACAGGCCAACCGACGCCGACGCATGTATTGTGAAAGTACGCGCCAACGGCTTCATCGCATTTGTTCCAAAGTACATACACGGTCCTCTCTCTTCCCTTTTCTTTTTTTTTTCCCTTCTTTTTTCTTTTTTTTTTAATTCTCTTCATCTTTCGAAGTTGTAATTCTTGCCAGTTTGCATGTCTGCATGCATGTCTGCTTGTCACTCAAGGGAAGTCTTCGAAGTCGTCACTCTTGCTCTTAAACCACAGTACCTCGCCCAGCTATCAAGTCCGAGCCTCCTGCTACCGGTAAGCCGAGCCTTGCCGAGCCTAGAGCTACCGGTAGCGAGAAACGGAAAAACAATAAAAAAAAGAAAAAGAAAAACGAATGAGCTTGTGAAAAAAATAAATAAATGAAGAAATAAAAACTTGAGAGAGAGAGAGAGAGAGAGAGAGAGAGAGAGAGAGGTCGGGAATGAATTTTCCTGCGTTTGCGGGAAGATTCTTTCCCGTCTTTTGTGTTTGCACTGTGCGGGGGAGAGAGAGAGAGAGAGAGAGGGGGGGGGGGGGGGGGGGGGGGGGGGGGGGGGGGGAGGCGCGTTCGATGCAGCAAGGCCGCAATGCGCCTGCTCTCTCTCTCTCTCTCTCGTGTGCGCGCGAGCGTGCAGCGCAGTTGTAATGTACAGCGCAGTTGTAATGTACAAAACATTAAAGAATCTTCCTGCGTTTGGGGGAAGATTCACCCGTTTGGAGAGTTAGGACTGCGTGGGGGGAGGAATGAAGTTACAGAGAGAGAGAGAGAGAGGGGGGGGGGGGAGGGCCTCACTCCACTACTCTCGAAATGTGCAAAACGAGAGTGAATCTTCCGCTAGAACATGGAAAGATATACCGCCATGATTTTTGTCTTTTGCGCATGTTGAGAGTAGTGGAGCGACGCCCAGAGAGTTGGCGTGTTGTGCGGCTTGCCGCGTCGAACGCGCCGGCTCTCTCTCTCTCTCTCTCTCTCTCTCTCTCTCTCTCTCTCTCGTGTGCGCGCGTGCTCACCCCCCCCTCTACCCACACCCGTTGCTTTTCCCTGTTTGTTTTTTTTTTTTTACTTTTTCTTGTCATTACCGGTCGTTCCTCCTCCGACCCCTGTCCGACACGGCGTGTTAACAGCCGCGTCGGGAATTTTTAGCAGGGCGATGTACTCGTGGTTTATCCTCCGCCCCTCTGTCACTCCACGTCCCTCTGCATGTGCCCTCGTCTCTCTCTTCCTCTTTCGAAGCCGTGTCTCTTGCTGGTTTATGTTTCTACATGTGTCTGCTTGTCGCCCTAACCCCGTCTTTTCATCTGATCGCATCAGTATTCGAACAGGGGTCTGTATTTTGGGGGGTGTACCAACTAAGCGAGGCCCGTTGACACCCACTCTTTTGTGTGCTCTGATCCTACTTATGTACTCTCTTGAGAAAGCAGTGCATTGAGACTTCCAGATGGATTGGATGCCATTCTAGGAATTCGGATCGGCTTTTTTTTTTCTTTTTTTTTCGTGATCTGATTGAGGTGGAGGAGGAGTCTGGGTCGTAACCATGTGAAGGAGGAAGAGGAAGAGGAAGAGGAAGAACAAGAAGAAGAAGAGGATGAAAATGAAGATGAAGAGAAGAGGAATAGGAGGCTTTAGTAGTAGTACTAGGAGGAAGAAGAACAAGAAGAAGAACAAGAAGAAGAACAAGAAGAAGAAAGAGGAGGAGGAAGAAGAGGACAAAAATGAAGATGAAGAGAAGAGGAGTAGGAGGATGATGAAGAAAAGAAGAAATGAAGAAGAAGAAGAAGAAGAAGAAGAAGAAGAAGAAGAAGAAGGTGGTTATCGTCCCAACCAACTTTTACATGGCTGTCACTACTTTGAAATTTTGGAAGTGCGGCAAACGCCTGCGTTTTATAAATAGCAGGAAGAAGAAGAAGAGCAGTAGCAGGAGGAGGACAACGAAGATGAAGATAAAGCAAAGATGACGATAAAATGAAGATGAAGATAAAGCAAAGATGACGATAAAATGAAGATGAAGATGAGTACGAAGGAGTAGGAGGAGGGAAAAAGAACAAGCAGCAGTGTCATCACCCCAATCAACTATTACGTCCCTCCACACTACTACGGTAAATGGAAATTTGGAGAGGCCTGAATTTTGTTAAAATTGATTGTGGGTTTTGCCGCACACAGAGGTCAGGTGGCTATGATCTTTTGAATTCCCGCGTGTCCTGGTGCATTGGTCATTTTTTCCTATTTTAAGGCTATAACCGCTACTGGAGCTGTTGTTAACCTCTGCGTAAACCGCAGGGCCCGGTAGGGGAACCCTCGGTTAATGCATGTATTAATCGGTCCTGTCACTCCTGTGTTAGCTTTTGGGTTGACTCTAGGTAACCGTCAGTTAACCCTCGGGTTCAATCGCAGAAGCTTAACTCATTCCAACTTCCAAGTCCTTTGAAATGTAGGTGGATTGTATGCCATGCAGCCATTTGTGTTTTCCCAGAGAATTAACCGAATGTCTTGCCTCCGCGCACTCTTTGTGTGTTTCCATGCACTTTGTTATTCTTATGCATCACAGATATGGAATAGAGGGACCTATTTACCTTGTTGGAAAGGATGCACCACCGTCAGGTATAGAGGAACTATTACTATTCTTTTATTTCCATTATCTCCATTTCAAATCTCTTCTTTTTTTTTTTAAATACCCTCTCTCTCTCTCTCTCTCTCTCTCTCTCTCTCTCTCTCTGTGTGTGTGTTGTCCTTTGAAGGGAGCAGTGCAGAGCTTCTCTGCATCATTCCTTTTTTTTTTTTTTTTTTTTTTTTTTTTCTTTTTTGAAAACACTTCCCCGTCAGTGCTAGTGGTGCTGATAAGAGCAGCCACCGTGCCATCTATTGGTGGGAGAGCGACACCTGCATCATTCCTGCTTTTATTTTTTATGGATGTGGTCGGGGAAGGTGGGGGAAGTTGCTTTTTGGGAAATTAGGAGTGGGCTCTCTGCTGACGAGGAAGAAAGTTTTCGAAAGGGTGTCTGCTCAAGTGAGGGCAGACTCACACTAGCCCTTTTTTGAATGAACTGTGGATGCAATTGGGGTCAGATGCATCTGGGAGGGGCTGTAATTGCGGTCAGATATGTCCTGGAAACAACTACCTTTTTCGCCCAACTAAATTGCTTTGTGAAACCGTGCACCAAGTTGTGTCGTACATTTTTTTTTTTTGCAAGTGTGTTGCTGTACGACATGGTAGTACCACACCTACTTTCACTAGTGTGTTGTTATACAAAATTTGACTGCAACAAAAAAACACCCCAATTTCACTTGCGCCCGAAGTTTGCGCACTAATTTGGTCTGAGCGAAACTGTTGCCGTGCCGATCTGCTTCGTTGGCGGCTTCTTGTGTATGCAGCGCAAGGGAAGGAGTATATTCTGGACGAAGTGAACCAGTGCATTACGTCGAACGACGGGCAGCGGACGTACAAGGTCCTCGAGCATGTAAGCGTTCACATCGAGGTGGTCGAGCCACGCGCGAATCAACCGAAGCTGCAGTTGTCCTTGAGGGAATGAATGAGAAGTTGAGAATGATATCTCTACACATCGACCTCTATCTCCATGTGCACATCTGTGCGGCAACCCGAGTACGAGTACGAGTACGAGTACGAGGACGTGTTGGCGAGCAGCAAACCGGCCACCAATTCGAACAAGCAAAATCGAAGCCAACTGAAAAGAGTGAAAGTGGACTCTCTGTGCAGAGCATCTGTCATCAGTGGATATACATCTGTGCGGCGTGCGGGCTATCTGGCATGAGTTGATGTCATCCATGTTGTTGAGCGGCAAGCTGAGTGCCGATGTTGTTGACGATGGGGAGGGTGACCGCCCCATTTTTCAGTTGCAGTCGACTTTGAAAGAGCGATCGAGGTCTGTTGACACCGGCCGGTTTGCGGAGCTGTTGTAATCAGGCATTTGTGAAGGAATGCGGAGTGGATGTGACCAAAAATGTGAGCCAGGTGCAGCCTGGTATATCAACGCCGTTCCATCTTCCACTCGCAACCGAATTTTTGGAAAGAGTGTTCACGGTCGGTGAAGAAAGCACACGTGCGTCTGGAGCCATGACAGGGAGCCATCGTGACTGGGTCTTTGTGGAGGAAAGTGGTCTAGGTGCATGCCACCGTGACTAGGTATTTGTGAAGGAATGTGGTCTAGGTGCATCCTGTTGTACGGAAAGCGGCGCGATGGATTTTGAGAATTTTTTGTGAAAACGTACAGCAGTGTGCAGTTGTCCATGTTTTCCGTCCTGAGTATGTCCATTTTTGGGGTTGTTGAGAGGAAGATAGTCTCTTTGACGGAATGGTTGTCGCCAACTTGTCGGTGTCTGACGAGCAATTCAACGGCGCAATAACATTGTATATTTAGGATGTACAAGAATTTTTTTGGCGCCATCACAACCTGTGTGCATTTTTTTCATACGGGAAAATCATGAATGTGAGGTGAAATCGATGGACATGGTGGTCATTACAGATGTACCGAGACGAGGCGTTGGCAGAGGGCCGCAGTAGAAAAGCCCTCCTCTACGCAACAGTTGCGCTGCGCCAGGAAGAATGGAAGTTTTGACAAGATTTCAGATATAAGTTCTTCTTCCTCTTTTCATTTTAAAGTTTCCAAGCCTTGATCGAATAGTGAAAAAGGGGGGGAGAGAGAAATCTAAGAAGAAATGGGAAAATTTTATTGTCTAATTTTTGACCGATTGGATAGCAGTTGAATAATTGAATTCCCCCCCCTGCCGCCAAGAGTCTCCATCACCCTTTGCTTCATGTCTAAAATGTTGAAGCAACTCTGATAATAACTAATTTCATTCCGTGCAGCATGTTGAAGCAACCCTGCTGCTCATAACAAAATGCTCTCTCTCTCTCAAATGCTTGGACTTGCTTACACTTTCTCTCGCACCGTGCTCTCTCTCTCTCTCTCTCTCTCAGTTGGACTTGCTCTCTCTGTTGGACTTGCTTACACTTTCTCTCTCACCGTGCTCTCTCTCTCTCTCTCTCAGTTGGACTTGCTCACACTCTCTCTCTCTCTCTCTCTCAGTTGGACTTGCTCACACTTTCTCTCGCACCGCTGCTGCTCATAACAAAATGCTCTCTCTCTCTCTCTCTCTCTCTCTCTCTCTCTCTCTCTCTCTCTCTCTCTCTCTCTCTCTCTCTGTGTTGGACTTGCTTTCTCTCTCTCTCTCTCTCTCTCTCTCCATGAACATGTACAAATTTTGGAGAAGCAAGACACCCTGAAGTCTGCAATGGCATTATGGCACCCTTGTTCGACATTTCTGACATCCCCAAGGGCGCATGTGTTGATGCCTGTGCACAGCCGCAACATGCAATCCGATCAGCACTCCACATGTGATTGTCTGCCATGCAGCAATCCTCACCCATGGAGACTACTTCACTGATTAGAAGCCCCTTCCTTTACAGACATTCTCTGCAATGCTCGTCTTTTCGTGTTGATACGAACCGCTCCCTCTTCCCCCCCTCTATAGAGTGAAGCATGCCAGATACATCCACCAACAGGATTGTGGTATTCGATAGGCAGAATCTCTGGAATGCCAAGCTTGGGGCAATCACAGAGGTCTTAGGCTTTTCGCTCGCCAGGTTTCAGATGTATTGTACAGCATCCTGCATAGAGCACAGGAAATGGACCAGGGACAGAACCAGGAAGGAATAGAATCAGTAGCAGGATACTTCAACAAAAAAAAAACAAATCAAATCTGGAGAAAAAAAAACAGACCAGCTGCTCAAGGAAGATATAAAGTAGGAACAGACACCACACCATATGGAAACCAGAAAAAGGACATAATAAAGGCCCTCGCTCCACCACTCCGGGATGTGCAAAATGGAGCATGTATCTTGTACAAAAACATAGTAAGATACACCCGCCACGGCGCCACAGGTTTGGTCATTTTCACATTCCAGGAGTGCCGTGGCGATGCCGAAAATGCGAGCGCAGAAAGCATCACGACATCAACGATGGGCTATAGCTCTGTTGGTACAACACCCAATGAACTGCTGAAATATAGACCCAAGTTTGAATCCAGTCGCTATCAGATAAATAGAATAAAATAATTCGGATTAATTAAAATTAATTTTGAATTACCCTGGGGTCGGTCAGCTCAGTGATAATATCTCAAGCGTGTTGCCCTTAAACCACCGGTACTTGGCCCAGCTATCGGCCGCGGCGCTTCCCGTTAATTTTTCGGGGTACCGGACCACAATGGCTGGAAGCACCAGCCAAAAAGTTTTCGAAATGGTACCCCGACGCTTCGGCGAAAATCGGTGCGCAGGGGCATTCCAGGCTCAGCATTGATAGCTGGGCCAAATACTGGTGGTTTAAACCACCAGTACCTTTCGGAGCACTCTGCCGATCCTTTTTTTTTCTTGAACCTCTTTGTCGCATGGGAATACAGCTGGTATTTGTAACTCATCACTTCCCAGCTGGTAATTGGTTGTGATAAGGGGAGGTACCGGTGCTTCAGCACGGGCGACCAGTCCTACTGTGCTGGTTTTTTTGTTTGTTTGTTTCTTCCTTCTTTTTTGTTTGTTTTCCCCTTTCTTTTATGTTTTATTCGCGCGGATTTCCTTTTTGGCCATTGGGCACTCTACTACTGGCAGAGGAGCTGTAGAAGGCCTGAATAGCGGACTCATTGTCCGTCGAGTGGTCAGCACAAAAAATAAAATAAAAATGAATAAAAATAATAATAATAATAATAATAATAAWAATAATAATAATAATAATATAATAGTAATAATAATATAATAATAGTAATAAAATAAATAATAATAATAATAAAACCAAAAAAAAAAAAAAAAGGAGCTCCTTCCATGTTCTAGAGGAAGATTTACTCTCGTTTTGCACATTTCTTTAGCAGTGGAGAGAGGGCCTTGTGCTCTCACACAAGTGCTACTTCCAGGATGCATCTGCCCACAATCATTGCCAGTTTCGTATTATGGTTTCTGTGTTTTTTAAACCTTCTTTTTTTTTGCTTTTTTTATTTTTTAGAGCTAGTTGAAGTGTCCTGCCAACGAGGCAGGCGCTTTCCACGAGAAGCTGACACTCGCAACCGAGGGAAGCCCTTTCTTTTCTTTTTTTTGTCAAGATTCTGTTTTTCCCCGCTACTTTATACCACTTATTTTTATTTGTTTCTGGTTTCAAGTCTTATTTTATTAGTGGCCATTATTGGAGCTATAGTACTTACCATGCAGAAGACTACTCAAGTAAAAAGACAAGATGTTTTTCAACAAAATATGATAGATTTTCAAAAGACTATCAAAAAAATACGACAATAGAAAGGTCTCTAGTAGCTCAGTGGTTAGAGCAAATGGCTGTTAGCGTTTCCCTGAGGGCTGTAACTGGATCTGCTTATCCATTCTGCAGGATTTTTTATTTCTCTTCTTTTACTTCTCTCTCTCTCTTTTTTTTT